TTCTTCCTCCACCATAAAATAATTAGAAAAATAACATTCTCCATAAGAAAGAGAGAGCCGCAACGGAAAAGATAATAGATATACGAGAGAGAGATATATTTATTTTTTACTCGGCGGCGGTGGCGGCGGGCGCGGCCCCCCCCCTCTGACGTCATATCCACGCGTCCAATTTTTTATATCATCTTCGTTATTTATCTTTTCATAATTATTTATCACGGTGCTGAAGGCATCAATCGTCGATTCAATCGCACGCTGTTTACGTTCAATGGCACTAGGTCGCCCAACACCCGTCCCCCCTCCCCCTCCCCGGAGCTCCTCGGTTGCGCACAGTTCCCCCCCCGCACACCCGCACCCCCTCAACGCTTCTGAGTTAGAATCGGTATAGTATTACTACTGCCATATTAAGAACCAAGCCTAAAGAAAACAATTTTTCTTTTAATATGATTTCTAATTGTCTGACAATTTCTTTTTCTACTAATCTTTCTAATAAATTTTCAATTTTTTAAAGATGAGTAGTTTTCCTTCATATTGTTTTGTCCGAATTTTTCTGCATTTGATTCGTTCTTTTTTACTAAATAATATGAAATCATTTAGTAATACATTTGTTTTTGTCTTTTTGATGACTGAAATTAAAAATGTACGATATATTTATGTACAATAATTTAATATCTATATCATAAAACATATTATTACCTTTTTCCGAAAGATTTTCTTTGTCTTGTAAATTATTTTCATTTTCTGTTTCATAGATAGATCAGTAAATAAATATTGAATTATATAAGTATATTCTTGCTCCTTTTGGATTATAGAACTAGCACGGACACACATCGGAATGAGATTTTATCGGCAGTGTCAGAAAATGGAATTCGCTAGTTTCAACATGCTAAAATGGAACTGTAACGCTAGTGGGGGGTTTCGACGGTCCCACGAAAAAGGTCGGAGTGGGACGCTTTCTGTTCATACCTTGTGGTGAAATACAGTTTATTTGTTCAGTTAAGCATCTTGCGTGCTGTAATAATTGTGTAGCAAAAGTTAAATCTGAAACATTATTATTAACAATTATTATTTTTTCCATTCCAGGTATCTATTATCTACACAAATTATTAGTTGTACAAGTTTATGAAAGTAATTGTTGGTTATTCAATTCTTTGTTAGATTATCTATTTTTCATAATAATAATAATATATTATAATAATATTATTTACTTTGTTACCGTTTCGTGTTCTAATTACATCACTGTTACTTAACATAACTTTAAAAGTTTCATTACTTTCTGCGTCTATCAAAGTTATTTCTTCCATGGCTGCCATCTTTGTACTGCGAATGCCTTACTTCGATTGCGTTCCGATATTCACTGCAAGTACTGAAAATCTATAATATATGTGCCGTGAACTATATATTTTCAGTATTGACATTGAACATCGGAACGCAGCCCTCGCTAGCCACAATAACGAAAGCAGGAAGTGACGACATAATCTATGACGTTATATGCTTGCACGGACTCATCGAAAGCACAGTATTTTTATACTGTGTTGAAAGTTTACTGTAAGTTTACTGTATTTTGGAACGGACTCATAGCACTGCCAGTATTGAAAATCTATAATATACGTGACTTAAATTATATATTTTTAGTACTGGCAGTGAATATCGGAACGCAGCTTGTATCTACTTATACTGTGGATGCAACTGTGGAAGCTTTTAAGCTGTGTATACTTGTGTAATGTTATGGCGTTGTTGGAAAACACTGTGTTGAACACTGGTCAGTAGGGCTGAGCTTTCCAGCTGAATTGGCTGCACTAGTTCACAGTTCATCTTTCTTCTTCCAGTAAGAAAGAAAGAAAGATAAACTATGAATTAGTGCAGCCAGTTTAGTCAAAAAGAACAAACCTATCTTGTGTCGCGTGTCTCTTGCTGGAAAGCTCCCTTACTTTTTTTGAATACAATACTTTTGAATACTTTTTGTGTTGTGACAAAAGTGATAAAATCACCATAGGATAAAATCGAATAAGATTGAGAACAAAAGATTTGAAAGAGTCGAATGTTTTGTAGATGATGATCACTGTTTCACACAGCAACTTTAGTTTACATAATTGAAAATTAACCTAATTTTAAAGAGAAATTTTGAAAATGCGATATTTGACATATAATACGATGATACTGATCTCTCTTTTAGTATCATGCCATATGTGGGAGGTACGTGCTTTCGATTTGAATAAATTATTTACCTATATTGATTTTTTATTTTTATAAATTTATAGATATCAGATAACTTTTCGAAAACTGAACATTCCAATAATTGGGCAGTTTTGGTTGATACATCGCGTTTCTGGTTTAATTATCGACACGTTGCAAATGTACTATCCATTTATCGAAGTGTCAAACGTTTAGGAATACCAGATTCGCAAATCATTCTTATGATTGCCGATGATATGGCGTGCAATCCTAGAAATCCTAGACCAGCAACCGTTTTCAATAACATTAAGCAGCATATTAATGTTTATGGCGACGATGTAGAAGTCGACTATAGAGGTTATGAAGTAACAGTAGAAAATTTTGTAAGACTGCTGACTGGTCGATTAGCTCAAGAAACCCCACGGTCAAAAAAATTATTAACAGATGAAGGTTCAAACATTTTAATTTATTTAACTGGCCATGGTGGTAATGGATTTTTAAAGTTTCAAGATTCCGAAGAAATCACTAGCCAAGAATTGGGAGATGCATTGGAACAAATGTGGCAAAAACGAAGATACCATGAAATTTTATTTGTAGTTGATACCTGCCAAGCGAGTTCAATGTATGAAAAATTTTATTCTCCAAACATATTGGCAGTTGCTTCTAGTTTAGTAGGAGAAGATTCACTTTCTGTAAGTATAAAACCTGTAAATTCCTATTAGCTTTAATATCTACTGATATTATTTATACCAATAATTTATTAGAATTATGTGCCATATTTGTAGCATCATGTAGATCCTGCTATTGGTGTTTATATTATAGACCGATATACCTATTATGCATTAAATTTTTTGGAAAAAAGTAGAACCATCCAGTACCAAAACATTGGGTGAATTTGTAAGTATTATTCGGCACTAAATTTAAGTTGTAATTTTTTCTTTTTCATATTCAAGATTGATTTATTTTTTTAGTTGAAAGTATGCCCAAGAGATTACTGCCTATCTACAGTGGGTGTAAGAAGAGATTTATTCAGGAGAGATCCAGATAAAGTACCAGTAACAGATTTCTTTGGTTCACTTAGGCCTGTAGAACTTACAATGAACATAATGAATATTTTACCTATTAAGCCTAATCGTACGAAAACTCAGGAATTTGAAAATAAGTACAATTATGTTGCCCAATTTCCCCAAGTATCTCAATATAGATGAGTGTATGAAAAGAACAAATGAAAAAAACGAATTATTTCTCACTCAATATGTTTGATATCATTATTCCATTATTTGGAGATAATATATATAACTTAAGATGATAAATTATATTTGATTTTGTGTCAGTTTTGTCTATTCAAAAAAGAAAAAGACTTGCCATATATCTTTGGTATCGATATGTTTT